TGGTTTCAAGATATGATATAGGGGGTGGGACGGGAACATATTTGGTGGGGGTCACAAAGTGATAACGACTGATATGAGCAGATAAGAGGCGCTGAAACACAATTTTCACAAAATTCATAGTGCGCTTCGCAGCAGTCGTCAGGAACTGATTTTGGGACATGATATGGGGGTGGGACGGTAACATATTTTGTGGGGGTCAAAAAGTGATAACGACAGATGAGGACTGATAATTACGATATGCGTACGAACGTAGAGATTACTCGAAACCAGATTGCAGATAATGCATTTCATTTCACCAGATTAGTCCCCCGTCAACCGCCGGGACCTTCCTTTCCTGCGCAAGCTTTCTATCCTCCGCTATGGTCCCTTCCTCCTGTGACACCAACACCTCTGGAAGTGACGCGTATGCAACACAATGGTGTTTCATACAGTAGAAGGGACACAATCATGATATGACGGTAGATTTTTCGCTCCCTTCCTCATCCTCCCTTCCTCTCTCCACTGCCCTCCAGCTGCCACTGCAGCACCATGTGGAATGAACGGAAGTGTGCTAAGCAGGTGTTTATATAGCCCTAAGAGTGTTATCACAACTATCCTGCTACAAAACATTGATATCTCAAATCCTGTAAGCTACCCGATTTGTTAGCGGTTTGTTTATCCCATGAGCTTCCTTCTCACTCACTTCATTTTGCGGACGGACACACATACATACACACACACACACACACACACACATACAGATACACAAACCGACACACAAAGTTAGCGCTTTATATAATAGAAGGATATCATTTCATTAGCGTTATAATTGTAAATTCAAACACCTTTCAACCGCTACACCTTCTAGAGTTCTTGAGGATGAATGGGATGCTCTAATAAATTTGATAGTGAATACTGGGCATTCCGTTTTGAGATTACCAAAAATTATTCGACCGCTAAATTTCCTCGATTCTCGATGCATGGTGGTTGTTTACATACATCACTTTAGCTGTGCACTTCACTGCGCTTATCAAACAGTGAGATACAGCCAAGATGGGCAACGGACAGTAATGCATTTAACGAAGCAGCTATAGTTAAGCGGTGAAACCCAAAGCTTCACCGATTGTCAGTTTTGTCAGAGGCTTCCGTGTCATGCGCGCGGTAGCGGGCGGAGCTAAACTGGTATATATATAGCTATAACATTTTTATTTAATTTGGCTTCTTATATGCAGTGCGTGTTTTATCACTCGAAGCTTGTTTCGATCGACCTCCAATCATTACACATCTAATCCGTTTCGCTTACTGTCTGGTTCTCCTCATAAGTTGAGATAGCATCCATGTTTATGTTCGTGGAATTAGGAGATGGATACGTATTGGTCGCTTTGATTGTACATTCTTAACCTTTTGTTCTGCAGCTTTCAAAGCGTTGAATGTGAACCAGGGTCAACCGTCCATTGTTCTGGTTCCAGAAATATTGCCAGACGGTCTTCCACCACCACCGCAGCCTTATGAGTGATAAAGCACCTTCTCTCCCCGTGCCCCACTACCCGCTTTATCGGTCGTGGCTTTTTTTTACAGCATTGGATTTCGAAAACGGTCGAACGCTCAAAATCCACCCACTGATTCCTCCAGAATAGCGGGCTATAGCGGGCTAAAGAATATGGCTAAAGAAACGGTTAATGCTCTGATTTTACACATTTGACGCTTCTTTCCTGATTTTGTTGCTAGCTGCCAGTGTTTTTTTTTGTCTCATTGTCTCCTTTTTGTCAAGAAAACTCCTATCAACACCGCCCCCCTCTCCTACAACCACGACTCCATGAAATTCCACAGATACGATGCTCTTTTTCAACATTGGACCTTTCAAAAAACGACCCTCTCTGAAAACCTTGAATACAACCCCTTCTCGTTGAGACCTGAGCAACGTACGGTTGATGTGTATGCCGAAATATCAGGGTATAAATGCGGCGTAAAGAGGTTGCTCAACCAGTTACGAATAGCATCCGGTATTATTTGAATACAAGTAAGCGTCATGCTTTAAGAGAACAGGCAACTCTCCTGCTGCTCGAATGACGGCTCATCACGGTCATAGAAAGTGCCCTAGAAGGTCTTTTGAAATCGAAGCGCTTCCAGTGAGCTGATTTTGAGATTGTATTTTGTGAGTTTCTCAAGTACACCTATGACGTCATCGTGTACTCGCCTAGGCATGGAGTGTTATCGCTTTTTGCCTACGGCATACGCCATCCAATGGCTTTCGCGTCCCTCTTTCTTCTTCAGTGTAATCATCGCGAGTGTTACCTGTTCACAATGAAGAGCAATTAGAATGGAAAGTAGTAAATATCAACAAAATGAATTTCCCGACGCTGCGAGAACTCCGAATCAGGCTGGAAATGCCCTCAGAGTGTGGTCCGTAGATGAGGTTGTTTTGCTGATAAATAATGAAGTCCAAAATGCAGTTTTCAAAGAAATGTTTGTCGAGATTTTCTCTATGAATTTGTGTTTCTTCGTAACATGGTGATCATTTAGGCCTATTTTCTGACCAACAACATAAGACCAAATCTTTAGCCATTTTGCTGTCGTCAGCCCTCTCTCATAGAAGCGCCTCCAAGGCTCACTACACATAATAGTACTTTTGGGATAGTGACAGAAGTTTCCGCTCCTTTTTGTTACCCAATGCTTCTGCAACTAAGCTACTCACTTATCAATATAATTTTCTGCTTCCTTCAATGTAGCTGCTGGATTTGTGTGTCTGTTTTCTGCTTTCTCAGCAACCTCTTCGAAATCCAGCATCATCGCCTGCCTGTATGAGGGAGAGTTGATAATACGAGGAACCTTTCTCATTCTGTGGACATTAGACTCGGATTCGGAGTTGTATAGTGTCTCATTAAGCCCCACTCGTACCTTGTGCCGAAGGTTTTCTACTTTTACGGGATCTTTCTTTTAAATGACGAGCACTCAATGCGTCTGCCGTTAAAAGTTAGAATTGATTCTAATTAGCCCTAGAAATAAAAAATATATACGAAAAATAAGAAAAGTCAGGCGGTCAGTGAGTGTAATTATGGTGGCATAATTGAACGATTGACTGCATTTGCATTCGAGATTTTCGGAAAATCGGCCAATCTTCTTAAAGGATTATTTACGTTTTCACTTCCATTGAAAATGACTCCACCCACCTCACTCTTATTTTCTTCTTCTAAATTCCAACGCAGAATATTGAAAAGGTGTAACTCATTCACCGTTTAGCCGATTCTCCAGATTTTCAAATAGCCGTCTGGGCACAAGCTGCGAACGCAGTCCATAGTTTTACTGGTCGTAAGGCGTGTATCTGACGTACTCGAGTTCAACGATAGTGTAACGCCTTGAGAATGTAATGCCCGTTTCGAAGCATTCTAACGGCCCAGAAGTAGTAAGGGGCATTGTTGTGCAGAACATTCAAGGCTTTCAAACTTCATATTAAGTACCAACATGTTCCCTTTTCAACAGCGGCACCTTCTTCCAGTACGTGAACAGACGCATGATTGTAATGAATTTTCTGAAGGAACATCGTTTTCATTCAATTGCAGGTTTTCTACTTAGAAGTATATTCTTTCTCTTACTTATCTACTCAAGAACTGTACGGATGTGATGCTTGAATCGTCGTTTGTTAATTGAATGCCGTCGTGCTTTGCGAAATTCACGATGGAATGCAGACGCTCATTTAAGGTATGACTTTAATTACTCTATCTTATACTTTATTATATTTTTCTGAGACTAGCGTAGTCTCACTGGAACAGACATACTTTTTCTCAGTTCCTTTTTGCTCTTTTAAGAGTGGAGATTATCAATGAAATAGTAACGATCGGAATTTGCTGTGATAAAACCGTTTCTTGACCACCTCTTTGGTTGTTTTTTCAAAATTATGTCCCTTATCACATTGCACGTGTAGGAGGTTCGCAACAAGCTCTATAGGACTAGGAGGCCCCTTTTTCGTGTCGTAAGAAATGTGAGAAAGAAATTATGGTTGACGCATGCTTTTGATATGATTGTCCTTCTAGTACGATCCCCTTCTCAATATCTTTGACTTATTTACCAGGTCAGCAGAACAATAAAAACTTGTAGAAGGTAACTTTTCCACATAGCTTTATGGTTTCATTGTCAAAAGAAGGGCCGCGAATAGGGTGGGCTGAAGTTGAGATTTCTTGGTGATTTTCCAATTGACGTTTTTGAGCATTCCTAGGAGAATAATTGGATTCGTTTGAATTCAGTTTTTGGAGAGGCTTCTTAAGAGTTGCAAAAATTCTAATGCATCTTGAGAAGTTGAAATTTTTTTGCGGAAGCTTCGGTGCATTGCCGTTCGTTCTTCCCGCCCCTCCTCGTTTCCACTCCACTGTGCTATGCATACATTTTTGATATATTTTTGTTGTTTTTTTTCTAGCATAGTTTGTTGGAGAATAGGTTGAGGATGAGAGTAGGTGTAGAATCTGTAGACGAAGGCGGTTTGTGAGATCTCACCTAAGCCTAGTCTAATTGGAAAAGGGCGTGCTAGCCCTACCAGAGAGTCGTACGATGTAAATTTCCTAGACATATGGCCCGCGGTGATCAGGAACACCCTCACGATTCACGCATTTGATTGTTTCACGTTTCTATGGTCTTTTCACTACTCATCAAACATTTTCCAATTGAACTACACTTTTGCAATGCACTTTCTAGGGCACATGAACGTTCTGTCACTGTAGATCAAGAGGCGATTGCCCGAATCGATACTTGTCAACTTGCTGCTAATAGTCCAATAGAAGATTTCTACTCGGCTGCTAAATGTGAGTTTCATCTACACAGACTTAACTTACGTTTTCTTGATAAAAAAAAGCCATACGAAAATTTGCAAGTTTTCAGTGCAATTAGTATCGACTGTATCATCTTCTATTCAGGCCTTTCATCTAATGCATTTCTTTTTGGAGTTTTTGATGGACACGGTGGTCAGTCGTGTAGTAGGCATGTTTCCGTGACTTTATTCCCATATATTTGCGCTTCAGTGTTGAAAAAGCATGAGGTGAGTTCTCCCTTCTATGTTTCATCTATTTTATGCATGCTTTCAACTGCAACTGCAACTTGTTGTGCATGTTGGTGTCAGGCGTGGGGGCACTGGGTGATGAATTAGTTTGGTCAAAAAAAGGGATGAGGCGTTGGAGCCAGGAGGGGACTGAATCGGTTTCTCTTCCAGCTGTCAGATTGTTGAGAGTTTCTCTTCTTGGGAAGTGGAAAGCGAAAAAATGAAAATAAAAAAAAAAAAAAAAAAAAATATAAATCTGAAGTTCGAAAAAAACTAAAAAAAAGCGTTGGGTCGAGCTGACTTTCATTTTCTCCTGAGGCAGATTTCATTAACACGGTCCATTCCCATTTGAGCTGAGTGTAATTCCGTGCTTGGAATCTCGAATTCCTTCAAATACATCTGTTGCTATTTGTTCAAATTTCTTTACTCTAATTTACATCCAATTCAATAAGCTGTGAGAGCGAGAGAATGCTTTTTAGCAGTGCTGATGCCCATTTACCAAATTTATTTCGGTTAGTTTCAGTATTTGCTCGAAAATTTTGTCATCATTTATTTTTATCCAGTGTTCTTTCTTATGTGATACGTGAACTATAAATATTTCTAGACAAAATGCAATAGAAAATGTTGTCGAATATCACAAAGCTTTCACTCAAAGGAAGCATCTTCATACAGGTGATTGATGCTTCCTTTCTCATTCTTGTGTTTGTGTTTGTTCATTCTTTCTTTTGTGTTTGTTGCGGGCAAAATCACTTGCGTGAGGTGTGCTTAGTTGTCCTTATATAAAACGTTTATTATCTACATTTTCAGTTCGCGAAGCTCTCAAATTTGCTTTCGAAACATGCGATGAGGATTTGTGCCGTGCTGCTTTACCGGACAGTAGAGGACAAATAGATAGGCAAGAAAAAAACTTACCGTAAATTATAGCGAAGTTTAACTCTTATTTACTTCTGTAGATGTTGGTGTAGGTTTGTCAGAAATGCGACATGACAAATTTTAATCAGTTGTAGGTTATCGGTAATGACCGCTGCGTCTGGATCCTGCGCAACTCTTGCCCATATTCGAGGGCGAAATCTTCATGTCGCAAATGTAGGAGACAGTGCAGCTGTTCTAGGTTGGTAAAACTTGTTTTGAGCCATCGCTGAGCTTTAATCCACATTTTTACAATGTCTTATTTTTGCGAACATATATATCTATTTTATTAGCATTTTAATTCCTGGACACCACCTGTCATTACTTCCCAAGGTTACGTTATACCTAACAATAGATGAATTGGAGACTAGACACAGGAAATGAAATTTCAAGATGACTTCACGTTTGAAAAAAAAGAACCCCAATCAGTGAACGTTGGTTGCCACGCCTGATGTGTGATACGTAACCCATTGCCAACCGCCGTTATGTGAGCATCTCCGTAGGTTTTTGCCGTATACTTTATTAATACTCAATGATCTATCTATAGTTTTACCAACATATAAATAACATATTTTAACATGTAACATTTTTTTGTGCACGAAAAGGCCTAATGATAACTTTGTAACTTAGGCTGTGCTAAATAATCGAGCATGATTATTCTTTTCTGTGTGGCAAGGTGCAGCACGCGGTCCGCAATGGGTTAACTTTGATCCCCCTTCCAGTGCTTGTTGATGTTTAACACAAAAAACTGACCTCTTAATGCTTTTTATTTATTTTTGATTCTTAACTTCTGTTCGCCATGTCAGCATTCTCAGCAGGGTGCTGGATTATGGGCAAAACAGTTCGCCCCATTTCACCCCGGCAGGTGCAGGATCGAACCGCGCCTGCCACTTTTTGGGCACTTCTGCCACCTATTACACCATCGGGGCATCGCTTCACTCTTTTTGTTTTCTGCCCATAAGCCAGCCCGTTCCTTTATTTTTGGTTAATTTTTGGATCACTCTCAAACCGTTTGACGGGCGGAAATAGTGAACGCTCAACTTCTATTAACACGAATCGACAGATCGTAAAATTGCTTCCCGTGATAGCGCATTATCTCACGCGCATCACCTTTCCGCAGTACTAGGTCGTAAAGAAAGCTATTGCCGTTTTCAATAGTTCAGGTTTTGAGGCATCATTCCTCACTAAATTCTTGGCCTCTACTTTGCTTCTAAATTGAATTAGAAGAGAAAGGAACGAAATCAACTCATGATATGAACTATTGAGTTGGTCTCGCATCCACGAAAAATGCGCTAAACAGCGATCGTCTGGAGCTTATGTAGGGATGACAAGAGCCTCGGAATTGGTGAGGGTGGTCGCTGGATATCGAGCGTTGGTAAAAATCAGCTGAAGGATTCCATAGAAGCAAATAAGGTTAAAGCTGCTGGGCGCAACGGAATGGCGCATATCGATTTGTGGTTTCAAGTCACATGGGATAGGTTTAAAGTCCAAATATCGATGTTAAGGTGCAAACAATCGCTGCCGTCTTCAGCTTTTCAATGCAATGAAAACGACCTGTTTCTCGTTCTGGTTTTAGGAGAGAGTATGGATTCCTCTCAATAACCTATGAACATGGGAGAGCCACTGGATCATGACTAAGGTCAACAAAACTTCACAAAGGTGAAACTGCACGAGGAGAAGGTTGTGCTACTCGTTTGCGGTCTGCAACAGGTGCAGCTCTCCTCAAAGACGAAATTTTTGTAGTGGAACAGTGACAGGATTTGACACAGGATTTTTTGCAAGGTGTCAAAATACCCTGAAAGCATGGAACGTGCTCCTAGCAAGAGTTGCCATATACGGGCTATCCTTTCCCGGCGATTCTTGGTGGCTGTCGGCAGAACCGACCCTGCCAAAAATGAAATTGCTGGAGTACTGAACAATCTCAGAACATTCTAACTCACTAAACCTCCTACTGGATAAAAGATAAAAGGATAAAGCATTTGCCGTTGATCAATCCCTTTTTGGGATGCGGCACGCATTCTACTTCCATTTGTACATTCGTAGTGGCGTTTGAATGCGATGTGGCCTATACAATGACTTGCGGGGGCCAGCCGATGTACAAGTCAGTGTTTTTATCCTCCCAGACAAGTCTGGTACCAATTAACCGACCCCGGAGGGAAGGCTTGGTTGGCCCGGACGACTCACGACCCAGGATTCGATCCCCGGATTGGTTGGATTTTACTAGGAACGAAAACGATGTTGGTTGAGACATGCACACTTCAACTTTTGGGTTTGAGAATGGCAAGAACTTACCTTACAG